GTTTATTCATGTATTTGCTGGAATGCCAGGATGTGTTCATGATATGCGCGTATTTCGTTATTCTGGAATTCAACAATATTGCACTCCAGAGTATTTTCCTGATGATAGCCATTTATTAACTGAAATGTCTTCAGTGTCGGAAATAATATTATCATGAAGTATATTTTCAACAGTGTCATTACTAACGATCTTCCTTGTTACATTTGAACAACTAGGTTTACTAATATCATTTGCCATCATATTTGTTGGTGGAATAGGATTATGTGTACCTTTAGAATTGAGTAATAATTTCGCATTTTGTAATAACATAGTAGCAAATATCAAGTCTGTAAAAAAAAGAGAGTAATAATAATATAATGGCTACGTTCAGCAAAGAAGCAGCTTTGTAACTGTTGTAAAATTCTTAGATATGACTAGTTTATATATTTAGATCCAGTGAGGAACTAAGGGCAAGATCAATCATATTAAAGAATTTTACAACAGTTGCAAAGCTGCTTTTTCTACTGAACGCAGTCAAAGACATAAGAAGGAAATTATCCCAATAATTATCATATTTTTATAACATAAATATTATGTTAAGGACTGCTATTGTTAAAATATGAATTATTATTATAATTATACCATTATGAGCACGGTTATACACTTCCATTGGTACTTTTATGACATATTTTTTATTTGTTGTTTCATCAATTAATGTTAAATTATTCAATTTTTGGTTAGTGTTTCGTTCATGTTGAGAGGTGGTATCTCCATTTTTAGATGGTATCTTCATTTTTTGAACTTTTACAGATAGATTAATTTGTACATACAATTTACCTGAAATTAATGAAAATGAAATTTTTTGGATTAATTGAGATTTCTCTTCGTTTTCTCCAATACCACGTTTCATTCACCGTTCGAATGAGATAGTGCATGCATACGATACCAGTATTCACTCACCGTTACCATTACTGTGCGTTTACTGATATTACTGCTGGAAGAAAAAAAACGCAGCGCCAATAATTTTCACTGCTGCCAACTGTATTGTTTTTACTGGTAGTAACCATACTCATTTTCGGACACACTATATAAATAAGGTTGGAAGACATTGAGTGGCCGGCACTTTTACTTTTTTTTGTTTAATACAGGCGGAAAAAGCTACATACAACGTTAGAGCCATTCCACACAAACTTGCAGAGCCGCATAATCATATGCATAAAGAAAATTATCCAATCGTATTTCTGTCATAAAGACAAACGTAAATTACGATTGGATGATTATCTTTATATTTATGTTTATGCAGCTATGCAAGTTTATGTGGAATGGCCCTTAAGCGGGGAGCACAGACTCTTGCATAACGCATAACACGTAATGCATAAGAATATGTACCAATCGAAGTTCTCCGTTTCTTTCCCTTCCATGTAATAGAGAACTCTGGTTGGTTCAATTTCTTATGCCTCATGTGTTATGCGTTATGCAAGAGTCTGTGCTCTCCGCTTTACACTTTATGCATTCCTGGAAAGCACCCATTATGTGTATACATTATACTAGGCCGGTATTCATAGTCGATTCTTATTTCAAGATCGCATTAAGTAATGGCTGCGTTCAACAGACTCAACAGTTTTGTAACCGTTTTGTGATTCTTCGCTGAAATAGGACTATTCCTTTAAATCTAAAAGTACAATCCAATCAACGCGACGAAATTAAACTAAACATAAAACTGTTGCAAAACTGCTGAGTCTGTTGAACGCAGCCAATTGCTGGATTCACATTGTATCCGATTTTCCTCGTACGACGTTCTTCAACCAATCAGAAAACAGAATTCCGATGATACGAAGCAAAATCCATCGGAATCCTGTTTTCTGATTGGTTGCAGAGCGTCGTACGACGCAAATCGGATGAGTGTGAATCCAGCAAATGTCTTAAGACGCTAATGCAGCCCTCTGATTGGTTCGTGACTTCTTAAGACCGTACTTAAGACGATCTTGAATATAAAGGCCATTCTACATTGGTCGTATCGTAGCGTCGGAATCGCCGTAAGCATCATACGATTTAAAAATTGAAGCATTGGATTGGCTGAAGCAACAAGCTTGTAACTTGCGACGTCTACGATACGACCAATGTAGAATGGCCTTAAGATCTGACTATGAATACCGGCCCTAGACTGCTAATATCTATTACTACAATAATTTTATTCCTAATTGGAAACAAGAATGTTTAAAGAAAATTAATTATGATTATTGGATTGTTTCATAATGGATGCTTTCCAATTGCTTAACACATCGTAACACAAACGTACACAGAAATGCACAAAGTGTAACGTTGTGCACGATTTAATTGGAACAGAATGCGTACGCTGTGCACGGTTGAGATCCGTTTCGAATTAGATTAAATGTAGCTTTTTCCACTTGTATTAAACAAAAAAAAAGTAAAAGTGCCGGCCACTCAACGTCTTCCAACCAGTGTTGTTAAATGAGCCCCCTTTTAGCGCATGTGCACTGCAGCGCTGGAGAAATCCAGGAATGTATAAGGGTATGAGCACAAGGATTGCCGTAACGTTTTACGACAGTCTTAAGTTGTAGACGTAAGTAACGCACAAGCATTGGCGTATGACTTTAACTGGGTGGCACCCAGTTGGACACGAGCCACTCATAGCGCTTGAGACTACAAAGCTCCTAAGCACCGGTCGCTGTGATTGATGGTTTTCAATCGAACCGTGGTCAATGCCTATGGCAATATACATAAGTTAAAGTTATACGCCAATGCTTGTGCGTTACTTACGTCTACAACTTAAGACTGCCGTAAAGCGTTACGGCAATTATTGTGCTCATACCCTAACAGTCATTACGGAGAATGAGAGAGAAGAGTCCTATAGTTTTGGTGGGATCAGGCCAGAATGACAATTAGATGTAAGTAAAATAATATTTATACATATAAAGTAAGTTTTTGGCAGTTTTCCTTATCCTTGCAACAAATGGGGAGGGCTCCGATTGCACACATCGCATATTGCACACATGTATCGCTGATTGACCAATTTAAAAATAAAATAATCTTATTGGCAAAACAGTGAAAAATTACTAGGCACCAGTTGATATGAGTGGTGTGTACAATCAGAACTGTAGGCAAACGGGATCCTCCCAACAAATGTTGGTATTCTTTATAATTCTGCCAAATAAAATATTATTTCTATTATAAATTTCTGTTCATTTATTTAGGAATCTTACACCTTTAACATATATTTACAGTATAACACTAAATTAGATGGACAGTCTCAATTATTGTTATTATTGTTATATTATTATTGTTATCAATTATTGGTGTTTTCAGTTTATGTAACTTCATATTATATTATAATCTCGTCACTTCTATTATTGATTTTTTTTTACTAATTTCGGTTTTTAATAATAAATAATAACAAAAAAACCAAAAATAATTTTATTTTTACAGAAATGTCAAAATAGGGCCTTAAAGAACCTTTGTAAGTTCGACATTAGTACAGCATTGATGCTATACTCCAATGCGCATGCGTTAGGGTCCGCGCACAAAGATGGTCGCAACTGAGTCGTAGTCGTAAGTCGTTGTCGTAGGTCAACGCACAAGGATTTTACGTATGTCGTTTACGTATATCCTATTGCGTCAGTTGACGCAAACACTGGCGCAATAGGATATACGTAAATGATATACGTAAAATCCTTGTGCGTTGACCTACGACAACGACTTACGACTACGACTCAGTTGCGACCATCTTTGTGCGCGGACCCTTAAATGGGAGCTCATCTAACAACACTGCTTCCAACCTCATTTATAGCCGCCGCAGTTAGTAACATGTAATTGTCACTAGAAAACACAAACTTATAGCGTTTTCGGCCCGACCGGGTTTGCACCAACCTGGGTTGGATTAATGGCGTTTTGCGCTCCCCTATTGGTAGAGCGTGTGACATCAACCAATAGGAAAGATTAATCCAACCCTGGTTGGTGCAAACCCGATCGGGCCGAAAACGCTATTACACAACTCTCGACTGAGTACGGATGTGTAGTGTTGTGTCGACGATAATGGACAATTGGAATGCAACGTGTGTCGCCGTGTGCACGAAAGTGTCTAGGGATATTGTAATTGGAAAGCACCCAATGGCTGCGTTCAGCAGACTCAGCAGTTTTGCAACTGTTTTATGATTCGTCGCGCTGATTGGTTCATACTTTTAGTTTTAAAGGAATAATCCAATCTGAGCGAAGAATCATAAAACGGTTGTAAAACTGTTGAGTCTGCTGAACGCAGCCAATGGCTGCATTCGTTTTTGCAGTTACTGCAGCAGATGGAGTTCATTAATTCTACCTGCGAAGGCGACTGCAGCGCAGTTTGACATTCGTTTATGCAGGGATGTGTACTATTTGCAGCTATCTTGGAAGTCCTGCTCAGATAGAGTCCTAGATTTATCAGAGAGGCGCAACCGGCTTAAGTCAGTATGACAAAGGTGCTAAGGAGTGTACTAAACATGGTCGACATGCTACGAAAATGCTTTTAAACTATGTCAAACAAGATAAGACGTAGGATAATGTCAGATAGAATGTATATTAAAATGAAATAGAAATATGTCACTAGTACTATAAATGGCTGCCAAGTCACGCAATTGGTCAGATTGCAACAGCGAATCAGAATGCATAACACCGGTTGCGCCTCTCCGATAAATCTAGGAGTTTGCTCGCGTCGCATGCTCCAATATGTTCCAATATGCTCCTACCATAGCTCCTACTCACTCCAATGCGCTTGATAGAGTGAGTAGGAGCTATGGTAGGAGTACGTTGAAGCATGCAACGCGAACAAACCTTAGGACTCTAGTTGGTGCAAATCCAGTCGGGCCGAAAACGCTATTAGTTTCGTCCAAATTTTTTATTGATAGATACGACCCAATGCGATACGAGCAGTGATTCATGCAGAGGTCAATTTAGGTTATGTAACTAGCAGATTACAAAGCAGTGGATGCGCTATCCACTGCATAAAGCCCATGACACATACAAGAACGCAAGGCCGTAACACGCAAGCAGTAAGTGAATTGACCAATCACAATAGAGACCGTAAGGCCAGTAGCGAATCCAATGTTAAGGCCCGTCTACAATACACGGAGTAAGAAGTAAGAGTAAGAAATTGACCAATCACAGTCGAATGTGTGAAGAATAATCGACTGTGGTTGGTCAATTTCTTACTCTTACTTCTTACTCCGTGTATTGTAGATTGGCCTTTAAGGCCCGTATACAATACACGGAGTAAGAAGTAAGAGTAAGAAATTGACCAATAACAGTCGAATGTGAGAAGAATAATCGACTGTGATTGGTCAATTTCTTATTCTTACTTCTTACTCCGTTTATTGTAGACGGGCCTTCATGGGCTTTACGATTTCCTTACTGATTACGTCTTACGGGCTTACGTTTTTCTGTGTGCTCCCGGTTTAAACGAATGCACCCAATATGTGGCCCGTATTTAAAACGCGCTTCTTCAATGCGCATGCGTCGGAATTTTCTCATGTAACATGGCGATTTGTTGACGCATTCTTTCGCGTATCAGCAATCTAGATATCTATGCCCTAGAGCCCAAATGTCTGCTAGAGCTTAGAGCTACAGGGGAAACAGCCACAAAAAAGTAGAACGGTGAATAGTTTTATGTTGTTTCATTTTTCGTTATCGTTCTCGCGAATAGGATTATTACGCGTCAGAAACAACTGACATGGCAGAGTTGTTACTGGATCCAAATATCCGAGGTTGGGTATTCTTACCTATAGTAGTGATCACGTTTCTAGTTGGTATAATTCGCCACTATGTTTCGATATTGCTTGCTTCGCAAAAGAAGGTCGAGCTTCATCAAGTACAAGATAGGTAAACGTTTAAACATGTAGTCAATTAACTTGGAGGTTTCACACGTGAAGCTTAAAATTAGTAATTCTCAGAATAGCCTACTCACCTCCGATTTCGATGAAATTAGGCTCACTCGACACGTTTTTGCGTAAAGTGACAGAATCTGGCAGAAAAAGGTCAAAAGTCTGACTGCTCTGTGAAGTAAGATATTGAACGTTAAAGTTGACAACTATTGAGATTAGAATATCTGTCATATGGGGTGTATAGACAGTAGTTTATTGGTTCGACGGAGTGTCTACGCCGCCCCGAACAAAAAGAAAATATATCCTATCCGCTTGGGGTCTAACTGCCTAAAAGTTGTAGCCTAGACAGTGTCCACTTGGAATATTTTTCCAAAAAAACCTAACCCTAACCTAATACATTTTTTTGTGCGAGATGGTCTCCATTTCGCGTGGAAGGTTATAAAAGTAGTAGAACTTTGCTTCTTGAATGTACAACTTTCTACGCAAAAGTAAAAAATGGGTTTGGTTAGGGTTAGGTTTTTTAACGCGAAACGACATGGATTTACAACCTTCCACGCGAAATAAGGGTCACCTCACACCAAAAAATGTGCAATATTTCGTGGCTGATATTTCCTAACTTCAATAGTTGTCGACTTTAATGCTCAATATCTCGCTTTGTAGGATAGTCCCGGACTTTTTTCTGCCAGATTTTTGCATTTTACGTAAAAACGCTTTGAATGGGTCTAATTTCATCGAAATCGGAGGTGAGTAAACTATTCTGAAGAATTACCTTAAAATTATTTACAATATTAAATATTTTGCAGCCAAGTCATGATACGCTCAAGATTGCTCCGAGAGAATGGACAGTATATACCGAAAGTAGGTTTTATGACTAGGAGACATTTTTTTAACAACGATGAGACTGGTTATTTTAAGACTCAGAAGCGTCCTCCTGTCTCTCAAAATCCTATGACCGATCCAAATATGATGACTGAAATGCTGAAGGGAAATGTGACTAATGTCTTGCCTATGGTACTAATCGGTGGTTGGATCAATTGGATGTTCTCTGGATTTGTGACAAGTATGTAACATTGAAATATTGTGTGAATACCTACATTTATTATAAATTTATTAAGTATAATTTTTTCAAATAAACTTTGGACTTTCAACTAAATTTGTAACTATTATAAAATTATATACACATAATTTAATTTAAGTGCTTTAATTCCAGCTAAAGTGCCATTTCCATTAACCCTACGTTTCAAGCCAATGTTGCAACGGGGTATAGAATTAGTTACGCTGGATGCTGCATGGGTTTCTTCTGCCTCATGGTATTTCCTCAATGTATTTGGACTAAGGTCCATTTATACACTTGTACTTGGTGAAAATAATGCTGCAGATACTACAAGAGTAGTACAAGATCAAGTATCAGGAGCTGCAATGTCTATGCCACCTGATCCAAAAGCAGCATTCAAGTCTGAATGGGAAGCATTGGAAATTTGTGAACATAATTGGGCATTACAAGGAGTAGATATTGAGCTCATGGGTATCCAATCAAAAATGGACCTAACTGATAATATATATCATCAAGGCAAAGCAAATTGATATTTAATTACCAAATTATTATTTATTGTACAAATTTCAGAAAATCGAATTTATTTATATGTTAAATAATAATTTTTGCAGTATCTATCTAAGTACAATATAAATTTCTGTTTTTTAATAAATAAAATAATAAAATATGATATTTTAATTTTAATATTACATTGTGATAACAATCTTAAGTATAAAATTGACGAGAGCCGTACATTTTATAACGAAATATAATTTAAATCGGACTCAAACTTTACAATAAATAACAATAAAAATAAAATTGAGGCTAATGAGAGTCAGCGCGGGAAAAAGTGCGCATATTAATCCATATACAGGGTGTCCCAAAAAGGTCGGGACACCTAAATATCTCGGGAAATATAAGTTTTACAGAAAAGTGTTTCAGACAAAAGTTATATGGTTTAAAAATATCTATTTACTGATGCTATCAGTTTGACCTTGGGTTGCGTAGCCAAGGTCAGGTCAAGGTTACATTGATTTTCTGAAATGGAACACCCTATTTTTGATTCAAGAATCTAATAGCTGATGTCGAGAGCTTTCCAAAACGCTATAATGAAATATTTTTTCATGAAGTACTTTTCAAGTTATAATGCTTCAAAATTACAATATCGCCGGCAGTAGCATTACCAAAGATATGTAATACTACGCGTTATGTTTTTGTTTGTGCGTTAACTGAAGGTCAAGATTCACGGACCACCGACCGATCTCGTCTTGACTGGCCAGTCTCGAAAATTAAATATTTTATGTAATGCTAATGCCGGCGATACTGTAACTTTGAAGCATTATAACTTGAAAAGTACTTCATAAAAAAATATTTCATTATAGCGTTTTGGAAAGCTCTCGACATCAGCTATTAGATTCTTGAATCAAAAATAGGGTGTTCCATTTCAGAAAATCAATGTAACCTTGACCTGACCTTGGCTACGCAACCCAAGGTCAAACTGATAGCATCAGTAAATAGATATTTTTAAACCATATAACTTTTGTCTGAAACACTTTTCTGTAAAACTTATATTTCCCGAGATATTTAGGTGTCCCAAGCTTTTTGGGACACCCTGTATACTTCAGGTACAAATTCTAACAAATTACATATGCTTGAATTTGCAGTCGTCATGATTTATATTAGAAATTATATTTGAACATAAGTATTTTTCAATATAAAATAATATTTACAATTGATAGGATAAATTGAGAAAATGTACCGAAAATTATCGTTTTATTTTATTTCATGGAGAAACATATTTATTTCTACACAAAGTATTTCTTGTAACTTGATCATTTGAAATATCTGTTGTTTTTTATGATACAAAAAAAATAATGACGCTGAAGCTAGCCCCCTATTCTGGCCACCTATTCGCTCCCGCGCGGCGAAACCCAAGAACGAATCGCGCTCGGGGCCCCGCTTTCAGATATCGAAAAACAAATGAAATCAAATCACGGAAATCAATAAAATATTACGTCAATTGTAATTTCAAACGTAGGCAAGACGAAGATAGCAAATAATTTTCACAGAATTGCTGTAAATATATTACTAAATAATATCGAAATCATGAAAACTATGCACACGACCGATTAATTTGTTGAAATAATTGTTAAACTCGAGAGAGGGTCGACTTTCGCTCATTCTTAATCTGCAAAAAATTACAGAAAGGGACAACTAAGTTTTGAAAATTACTAAAATGTAGTATATTCATCCCCGAAAAGACTACTATTTATTTAATTGCGGCACACGATCGATTAATTCGTTAAAAAAATTGTTGAACTCGAGAGACGGCCGATTTTCGTTACTTCATCGTCTGTAACAAATTCAAGCAAGGAGCGATTAAGTTTTCAAAATTACTAAAATGTAGTATATTCATCCCCGAAGAGACTACTATTTATTTAATTGCGGCACACGACCGATTAATCTGTTTAAATAATTGTTGAACTCGAGCTTCTGCCGATTTTCGTTACTTCATCGTCTGTAACAAATTCCAGTAAGGAGCGGCTAGGATCAGAAAATTACTAAATCGTAGTATATTCATCCCCGAAGAGGCTACTATTTATTTAATTGCGGCACACGACCGATTACTTCACTACAAAAATTGTTGAACTCGAGAGACTACCGATTTTCGCTATTTAGTCAGCCCCCTCCCCCACCCGTTAAACACAATCGATTTGGGAAATTTTTAATTGCCTGATTAATCAAGTAATCGAAATAAAAAATTTTTAATTTCCTGATTAATCGGAATAAAATATTTTTACTTTTAAATTTTTTCCGATTACTTGATTAATTAAGTAATAAAAATTTTTTATTCCGATTACTTGATTAATCAGGAAATTAAAAATGTTTTATTTCGATTACTTGATTAATCAGGCAATTAAAGAATTTTTATTCCGCTTACTTGATTAATTAAATAATATTAGC